CAGATAATGTCGGCCGTTGTGTTTTGAAATAGCAATTAGGTCCGAAATATTTGTATTGTTAGTACGAAATATGTTTAAGTAAAACTAAAGAAATAAATCGTGTGTCTTAATACTCTAAGCTCTGTCACGCAGTTTCAGATAAATTTCTTGTTAGAATTATAATATTTTTTGTATTGTTTTTTTGTGTTTCTTTCAAAGCAAAGATTTGTCCAGTGGCCGTTTCTTTTTATGGAACAAAGCTTAAAAATATCTTTGTTGTCCTTAAATTCAGAAGACGAATAGTTGTATAGAGTGACACTCTATTCAACTGTCTAAGCATTATAGCAATAGAAAAGAGAATATGATTGTGTATGTGATGGAGTATATAGTTTCACAGCATTTTTCAATCTCGGTTTTAACTGCTGAAAGAATTGATTTTGAAAGAGTTCTCGCGGAGCAAATGTCAGATTAGAATTGTAACGGTTTTTTTTTTTGTAATAACACTAAGGTAATTTGTATACCAAGTACAGTGCAAGAAGTTCAGATACGTCTTTTGTTTAAATTTAAGGGAACATAAATGAGGCAAAGAGACAGTTATCTCAGAAAGAAATGAAAGACTTTTTTTTTAAAGATATACAGAGAAATGAAAAGTGCAAATTCGTTTATTAAAACATTTCTGCATATATTTGATCACTGTTTTTAACCCATTATTTTATATGGATGTGAAAACTGAGGTGTAATTTACATAACACGTAAAAGAAAGAAACTTTCTCTATTTGAGATATTTAAAGAATGGGAATTGAAAAACTTAACCTTAAGTTTGGTAAATATATTCTAGGAGTATCAAAGCTGTCTAAAACATTATAATATGGCTGTTCTTTCAGAACTTGGGAGATATCAACTATATATCATGATATATATCTATTAAAACAAATCCCGCCGCATTTTTGCGCCTGTCCCAAATCAGGAGCCTCTGGTCTTTTTTAGTCTTGTATGTTTTTTAAATTTTAGTTCATTTATATGTTTCGGAGTTTAGTGAAGCCCGCCTCCGGGTGCGGGATTTCCTCGCTGTGTTTAAGGCCCATTGGTGGCCTTGGGCTGTTTTCTGCTCTTTTGGTCTGGTGGTTGTCTCTTTGACACATTCCCCATTTCCATTCTCAATTTTATGTATTGTATAGACTTGAACATTCCCCATCAGACATGCTAAGTAGGGCTTATTATGAATATAAGCGAAAAAGAATAGTAAAACAAAATAGTGAAAAATTGAATATTGCTGCCTGTAAAGATCTAGGTCCATATAAATTAACGGTGTATTTGAAAAGATGTCTCCATAAAATTTTTTGGAAACACGGAAAATATCAGATATATACATATTCGGATGACAGCTGTAAACTTAACACATGCATACTTTAAACTTACATATTCTTTTAATTATGAATTTACTTATCTATGAAAAACCGCGAAAAAAACAGAATTCTTACAAAATTTCGAACAAGTAACCACAGTTTAAGAATCGAAGCTGGGAGACACTCGAAAGAGTCATAAATCTGGAAAGCAGGAGATACTCCCTAGATGTAAAAGACTGTCAACATTGCACCCTAAGCTAACTAAGTAGGGTATGTAGCTGTTGCTGTATCAAGAAAACTATTCTTGGATAATATTTTCCAAAGGTGTCCGAATTTGTTCAATCTTAACCTCCAATATTGTTCATTTACATTATCAATTTGGATGATGACTACTAAAGAAATAGATTTTTATATTTCCATTTGTGACTATTTATTAAAGATCTTTGAAAGGAGGAGAGAATTTCATTAGATATAGATATCACTGTCACTGTATATTTATGACGGGTTACTACATGCAGAGAAACAGTTTTTTTGTTCAGATGAACAAGTGTGGACACAGACTTGTGATGTCTGATGAGCGAATTTTTATAATAACTTGTGCAGGGGTTGATTCTGCAAAGTGCCCGCAGGCGTAGATGCATTATAAAATCTAAAATTCTATTGTGTTGTTTGGTATGCGAATATGGACACTGTTTTGCATAGAAATAGTTCAGTGTTTTATCTAGTCTCACTAGTTTTAATATATACCACCTTGTGTTTAGAATGACGATAAATTTTTCACTTTTGTTCTCGTACTAGGAACAGCAAAATTATTTATTTTTGTAAAAATTATTTCTGTACTCCATGTATACCTTACAACAAAATTATTTTATTTACCTGTGTACGTTATTTTATTTGGCGGCATTTTGTCCAAGGTTATGGTTCTCTTTCTGATATTGTTTTACATCTAACCCACTTGTTTTATTAGTTTTGTATTTACATTGTGTCATAGATCAAATTTATTCGTTCAGTGTATGTTCACTTGTTTTTGTTAATATGTCTTTTGATTGAGTTAAGCCATTTCAATTGATATTTTATAGTGTGTCTTTCTATGTTGTGATGTTACACTATTGTTTCAGGTAGGGTGAAGGTTGGCGCCCATTAAAACGTTTAAACCCGCTGCATTTGTTTGCAACTGTCCTAAGTCAGGAACCTGATGTTCAGTGATGTGGTTCATAAGTGTTTCTGGTTTCTCGTTTTTTATATAGATTAGACCGTTGGTTTTCCTGTTTGAATGGTTTTACACTAGTAATTTTTGGGGCCCTTTAAAGCTTGCTGTTCGGTGTGAGCCAAGGCTCCGTGTTGAAGGCCGTACTTTGATCTATAATGGTTTACTTTTACAAATTGTGACTTGGATGGAGAGTTGTCTCATTGGAACTCATACCACATCTTCTTACATCTATTAGATACATGATTTTTTGTTATTAGTTGTTATTGGCTTTGAACTAGCTTTCAGTAACTACGAGTACTCTGAGATCTGTACTCAGTGTCTTATCTGTTGTTAGGGATAAGGGATGGATATATACCCTGCCACGTCCTGTCTGTGTTTTTGTTTGATGTTTTTCTTTGTATCGAACTGATGAGTTAAGCCTTTTGCAACTGATTTTTATAGTTTGTTCTTATGTTGTACTGTTACACCACTGTCCCAGGTTAAGGAGAGGGTTGAGCGCTCACAAAGATGTTTAACCCCGACACATTCTTTATGTGCCTGTCCCAAGTCAGGAGCTTGTAGTTCAGTGGTTGTCGTTGGTTCATGTCTGTCATATTTGTTTTTCGTAAATTGTTTTGTTATATATAGTTTAGGCCGTTAGTTTTCTCGGTTGAATTGTTTCATATTTTTATAGCCGACTATACGGTATGGGTTTTTGTTGAAGGCCGTACGGTTGCCTATATTTGCTTGCATCAACTTCATTTGAACTTTTGTGGATAGTTGTCTCATTGGCAATCATACCACATCTCCTTATTTTTATATAGAGTTATTCCTCTTCATACAACTGACTCTCTCTATTAGTATGTTTTTGTCTTTGTTTTTTTTAAGTAGTTTAAAAATCATAACTAATCAATAAGAATAAAATAAGATCTTCAGGATTTCTTTTGTAAGTAAGTTGCATTTGGATATATGTTACATGTATGTTTTACGGTTTTAAGTCTATGTTAAATGAAATTACCCAATTTTTGAGATAACGTACGAGATTGACAAACACACCAAATCGGTATGAAATGGGAAATAAAGAAACGTAATTTTCTAGTAACAGATGTATTTACATTGACTTTCAATCAATACCTTTAAGTGTTTTTTTTTTCACGTTAAAAATTCTAGCAATTCAGAAAACATTAGTAATAATTACTTTCAAAATGATTGAAATCTTTGTTCTTTAAATGACAGCAATTGTTTTATCTCCCAAAACATAAGGTTTGACCGATGCTTCCCCCTAAACACTGTAACCAAAGGATGAGTAAAATCGCCTTCTAAATTATCAGGAAATTTCCATCTCACATTTTGATATGAAGAAAATGAGGGAGATATCTATCCTTTGAATAAAAGTTTAAAAATTCTTCTAAAAAGACTCTTTTCTCCTTACCTTAAAAAATTATGACACTTTTTCATCAATATGTGGAACCATGAATTAATATGTGGAAAGAGATGAAACTATTTGGAGAGACATTGTATCCAAGAATAGCTTCGGTGTCATTCGGGAATATTGGAAATCAGCTGATAAAAATCCCAAACTATTCAAGATCTTTGTCGAGCCCCGTATAATAGCGTTCATTTGGTAATTTGCTGGTACGGACTGAAGTGAACCAATTATTGCTTCCGAATCTGGAGAGTGCCATTCTTGTGGTGACATATACTGTAAATGCTACACATATATGAATCATTTTATCTTAAATTCACCAGTAAAGCCACCAACAACAAACAATTTACAGAATTACGAATATACAACTTGCAGTGAGGTGAGAGTTTTTTGCTCCGTGTTGAAGGTCTCACTGTGACTTTGAGATGAAAAACAGCAATAAAAGCGCTGTTCCTTTCTTTTTGTGTGTTTTTTTGCTGTGCATGTACTGATTTTGTGTCATGGATGGATACCCTATATCCTTTGTTTTTCTATTAAAAACAACCGATCTAAGTTACTGAAAGCTAGTTCAAAATAAAATACAACCAATAAATAAAATAACAAACAGACTGAGAATAGCACGACCTTGTTCTATGCCAAAATATGTCATATCGACAGGATGTTGTGCAATAAGTGTTTATAACTGTAAGTAATACATATATACAGCAATGTTGTAATTTGTAAATAACAAAATCAATTTGAATACCGATTAAGACAATATCTTAAGATCTTGAATGAATACAAACTATATAAACAACATCACCGTAAAAAATCATTGTGTCATTTCACACTTATACATACACAAATGTATATTGAACGCTAGATGGCTTTTGCATTTTTGTGTCGGTTGGCCGGTTGCTGTCTAATTAGCGTATACCCTATATTTACTTCTATTCTATTTCTAATAAATACTCGGATTTCTGTTGTATAATTGTACCTGTGTCTGGTTATATTATATCGAACTGTGTATAATATACACATATATATCTACATAATTTAGATAATAATATTCACCAAGTTATCATTGTCTTCCATTTATTCTTTGTTCTGCTTCTTCCTTCACACCTCTTCGGAAAATTTTCCCAACCGCAGTTTTAGGAAACCTTTCAAAGAAAAGATAGATTCTAGTATTTTCTTCGAATTTAAAATGACTTTTGGCACCAACTGATAGAAATGGTCTGAGTTCATCTTCTGAAAGTAGTGAACCTTTTCGCAAAACGATGCACGCGCAGACCTTTTGAAAGCAAACTGGATCACTGACAGGAACTACACAAATTTCTGCTACTGCTGGATGTATTTTAATCTCGTCTTCGATGTAAGATGGCGAGATTGATTCACCATGACATAAAATGATATCTGAACAACGTCCTGTGACTGTAAAATCTCCATATTCATTCATGAATGCTATGTCATCTGTTTTGTACCACCCATCAGTTCCCAGTACTTGATTTGTTTTATCTGGATTTTTATGGTAACCTCCAAAAGCAACTCGATGTCGAACAAATAGCTCCCCTGCTTCATTATGTGGCATTGTTTTTCCTTCGGTATCGACGACTTTCATTTCGACTCCCGGCAAAGGTTTACCGACATTATAGTCGGAAAAGTCGGACGCCGCTTGAGACCTTTTCACCGAAACACATCCCATTTCTGTTGATCCATAAAGACATATAAATTCTTTACAAAATCTTGGAACAACTTGAGCACATTCTTTTGGAACAGGAGCTCCACAGGTAGCTACAACTCTTGGACTTATTTCATTTTCGTCTCTTTTCAGAATTTCCATCGCAAAAGCTGGTAGGAACTGACACACCGTACAGTTGTCTTGTTTAATTATTTCAATCGCGAAGTTGCATATTTCACTGATGCTCTGTAAAGTAAACTGGTCAGATGAGGTCACGTGTGTAGCACCACAAACCAAAAATACGGTCGGGTACCCAGCTCCCCAGTTAAATAACCTGTCGTTGAAATATACATCGCAAGATTCCATGTTAAATGCAGCGACAAATCCTTGACCGACTTCAAGCATTTGTAAATGCGTCTTTGGCACGAGTTTCGAGATACCGGTACTGCCAGACGTCAATAAAAACGCTGCAATGTCATCTGGGTCGAGAAATGGTAAGTTTATATTCTGATACTTAGTTCCGATATTCGAGATATCCGAAATCGTGCAACAATCTTCAAAGCCTGTCATTGAATTCTCTAAAGCAACAAATTTCAGAGAAGGAAGTAGACGTTCTTTTTTAAGCTCCGTATTCTCAGTATCGGATTTGCTTCTCTTAAGAATATTATCCAGAAAATCACGAATGGAACTATCCTTCTCGTTAGCCATCAATATAGCTTTACAATTTCCTGGAACCTGTAGAACTGGTATAATATCTCGACCGTTATTGTAATTGAATGACATGTGTAATGGAACCGCTCCTGCCATTAATATTCCAAAGGTTGAAACAAGCCACTCCTTACTGTTTGGAAAAAACAGACCTATAGTGTCACTTTTCTGAATTCCAAGATGCACAAGACCCCTAGCAAATGTCTGACTTTGCTGGTATACATCTTCACATGTTATAACTTCACGACCTCCAGACGTAGAATGAATAATAAATGCGGCTTTGTCCGGACTGTTTGTAGCATAGTATTGTATTCTATCGGGAATGGTGCAATGCATGAAGGGCTCTGTCATAGGTAACTGGTCGTAGCTTACACTAAAATGGTCCATGTTGATTCTTCTATGATAGAAATACCTTTCCACTAATAATGTGCTGTTGTGCCTCATTTGCTAGTCCTATTTATATAGTAAAGACATGAAATAGGGAGTTTTTAATGTTAATTTTTATGTTAATTCAGCATGTATTAATTGTCCGACTTATTAGGTTACTTTATTTAATATAAGTAATGTTTATACAAACAATATTTCCATCCAACTTTGATAATTAATCTTTCCAGTAAACATGCTGACATCTTGGATATATTTAATTAACGTACACAGACCACTTGCTACATCTTGAGATTAATTTCTCTGGAATTTGACACTTTGAAGTTACACTGCAATCTCACCAGGGGACATACTAATCTATTCTTAATCTGATACATGTTAATGATAAAAGAGGAAACAAATTAAGAACCTACAAGGATTTGAAGATGAAATTTGATATGGAGAACTTTTTAAAATTAGATATAGACAGAGCTGATATTTCAAACTTTGTAAGAATAAGGATAAGTAATAGTATCCTTATGATTGAAAAAGGCAGACATAAAAAGATTGATTTAGAAAACAGATTATGCCCCCCTATGTAAATTTGAAGTTGAAGATGAATTACACTTTACCATAAAATGTACCAAACTCAATGATCTGAGGAATAAATTTTTTCAGAATATTTCTGATATTTTACCATCTTTCAATAATCTTTCAGACATTGAAAAATTCTATTTCATATTTCGAAGTAATGATTATGATGTCAGTAAATGTTGCATTAAAGGTATTAATGAGATGTACACGTTCAGAAGTTCACTAACTTAAGTTATTTTATGTTTATATTATATAAATTGTAATACTAGTATCTAAAACTGTACCTCCTCAGTCAAATAGATAGAAGGGGAAAATAAAAATACTCATTATATATTTATATATACACCTCTTTCTTCTTTTTTTTTTATATTATGTATTGTTATATAATTGATTGTAATGATTAATGATTGTTCTTTGTGTGTTGATGACAATCCATATTTTGGATTTTATATCAATAAAATCTTTGTTACAATTATTCACTGTGTGTGATGAAAGGCAGAATAATTTCAGTCTCATAAAAATAATTACACTTTAATAAGTATATATAAACTGTCAATCTCCTGCCACTAGATGATTAATGTACCCAAAATCTGTGTGTTAAGCCATATGCATGGTCTTTGTGCAATCAGTTGTCAAACTAAGTTCAACTTGACAGTTTTACAGTGCTAGAATTCAATTTACCACCCACCAACCCCAATAATGTTCATGAAATGAGGAACATCTCAGCTTTTAACAGTGATATTTTTTATTTGTTTTCCTTGATGGAATTTTATCACTGGTCATTTCTAAAATTTCATTCATCCCCAAGCATTTCGGGGAAAATTTTATCAAATTTATTCCAGCGCCAGATTGATAGACCCTGCTACTTACTACTTGTAATAGCACCACATGGGCTATCCCCCATGCAGACCTTGCACACCCCGGCTGCAGGTGAGACGCCTAGTCTCATCCCCTTCGTGGAGACGCCTCTTTTCACATTCCCGGCTGGCGTATTGTCGGGCAGGCAGGTTCTTCCTCACACTACAGGTTGCAATTTGACTTGCTCGGCAGGAACTCCTAAATTCTTAATTATGCTGAGTGTTTCTCAAGGGCCAAACTATTTTGTTATTGAATTTATTGTATTTATAAATATTATTCATTTGAAAGTTCTGTCTGCTTTGAGCTAGTATGATTTATTGGACTATGATTTGGTTTACACACAGATACCCCCTTTATCACTTATGCTAACATTTCATTATTAGGGAGTTGTTTTAGATCCATAGTGCTCAATTTCACTGATGGTGATAATTTTTACTTGTAACTATTTACTTTTGACTTAAAACTCACCATTGGGGACTTTGTGGATTGTGATATTATATTTGAGCTTGGCTATCAAGAGAGTTACATCAGAACTAAGAAAATATTAGATCTATAAGGATTTGTTTCATTACCATACAAACAGAAAATAATATGCATATTTACATACCAAGAGACAATTAGAGATAATAAAACACCACCAATAAAAACCTTCAAAAAGTATGTTTACATTATGGGACAACAATCAACTACAACAATACACAACTACAAAGAAAATATTGTTTGTATAAATTCACTTTTAAATTAATGAATCTAATACGTGACCAGTCATATTGCTGTGATCGTTACGTCAGATGTAATGATGGTATTCTTTCTATACTGATTTAAGAGTCTTTCCTTAAGCATGAAATAAAACATTCAAATATTTAGCTAAACATAAGAATTTATCATATACGGCAACATGAAATTGAGACATTCCGCATATTGTACTACTTGAAATCTCTGTCAATAGTAAAACAAGATAAAACCTGGTAAAAAATATACAATTTTGATATTCATTTTTTTCCCTTTATTGCAATCAGTTATGTTTGTTTATACGTAGATCTTATTTAGTGGCATTTTTTTTTTATATTTTTATGAACAATTTTACGATCTATTAAAGTTGTTGAGAAATAACAACGTCATTAAATGGCAATAAATCCTAGAAATATAGTGTTTGACCATGTTGACTTACTTGTAGATCTTATTTTGCTGTTTTTTTGACATTTTAAAGTTTCTTACTCCTATAATTTTTGACAAAAATGCAAAAATCAATTAAAAATCATCTTTCAGGAGAAATAACTTCTATAAGGAATCGGTTGACTGTTTCGGCTATGTTGACTGATTTATAAATTTTTGTGCTGAACATTTTTATCTATTATAATTTATAATTTGTGTAAAAACTGCAAAAAAAGGAAAAATGGAAATTATAATCCGCTGCATGTCCATAAAATCGTAAAATCGATCAGATAGAGGTCAACAATATGAGATCATAAGACCTTCTGCTGAAGCATTGACTATTTCCAGTTGTTGCGTAAAGGAGTGGGCTTTATCGCAGTAAAAAACAGTGGGGAATTCAACTACACTTCACTATCGACGCCCTGGGTTTCACTCCGTCTCGGAGATAATGTGGTTACACATTTTTGCAAACCTGTTTTTCTAAATATTTCATGATCATTATGTCTCATAGAAAAATGATAAAAAAAACCAACGTTTTACTGACATTACATATACAGTACGTTCCAAACTTAGAGCCACGCATCGAAACTCGAGCACCCATGCAAGCACTATCACATTTCTACTGTAAATAATTTTATTAGATAAGATGAACACACAAACTTTCAGATAAAGTGAATATTAAAAGTGCAAATAAAATTGAATTCACGAAAACGTTGCAAAATGTCAGCATGCAACTAAAGTGATTGATTACGAACAGCCGACAATATGATTCACAATTAGAAAACACATGGTAGTCCACCGGAGAGTAATAATATTCGTTTATTTGTGCTTTCAGAATACGAAGTGCTGGGTTAGTTGCTGTTTCTTTCAATTCAGTTTAACAGGAAAGATGGTTCAGATATCATACAGAACCTATGATATATTCCTTAATGCGTAGCTGTTATACTGTATTTGATATTAGACCTGATGACATAAACTGGAAAACATTTTTGTCTTTTGATGATAGAACCAAAGGGTACAATCTTTAGAAATGGACTGCCTTCACTCGGGTTTGCAATTTTCAACAACACAACTAAAAGTAACAGATTACCCTTAGTGATTAGCGACCTCACAGATACCAGGTTTAAAATGTTGTACGCCAGATGTGCGTTTCGTCTACAAATGATGTAACACAACACAAGGTTATTTGGAACAACAGTTTATTCAAGCCTGTCTGAACCAGTGTTCATAACGGACGGTCTCCCCCTAACAGAACAAGCAATAGTTTATATACAATTTCATTTGAATATAACAGTTTATCAAAATTTCTATTACTTTGACAATAATAGTTTTTATTCTAAAGATACACAGATGAATATCTATCAAGCTGACTTTAATTGACATGTTTTTACCAATCTGGACAATTTATAGTTGTTAATCTTGCGTATGTCCAGTTCATTAACTAATTGTTATTATAACATGTCAGCATATGGCCTACATGTGTACATATAATTTTAACCTTGAATTAAAACCATCAGTCTAAATCTTATTTGTATAATGTTCTTGATAGATATTTCCCTGTGTTATTTTATTCAATGAATTTTATTAAACATATTAAGAATATAAATATATATATATAAATATATATATTTTGAAGCCCATCATATTGTCACATTCCTCCCTTTCTTAAAAAATATAACTTTATATTTTAGTTTGAATCAGCGACAATATGAATGCTTGCAAATTAAAAAAAAAACAACAACATTCATAAACAAAATCATTTCAACAGTTCAACAACATCTAAATATCCAGCAATGCATAGTTCATACAATTCTTGTGTGAATAACTAAGTTTTAACAGTTCTATCATTACACTCTTCGTAATTCTAGAAAAAGGCGCAACCATCAACTGCGGACTGTCTTCATAACCCCGACTCCGGTGGACTGCTCCTCCGATCGTCGTTGTCAACTCCAACAATCCGTTCGTTTGTCTGCAACGCCAACTTCCATCATTCAAAAGTTCTGCAACTACTCCGACTGTCGTTGATAACTCCGACCTCCAAGTGCAACTACTCCGACTGTCGTTGATAACTCCGACCTCCAAGTACAACTACTCCGACTGTCGTTGATAACTCCGACCTCCAAGTGCAACTACTCCGACTGTCGTTGATAACTACGACCTCCAAGTACAACTACTCCGACTGTCGTTGATAACTCCGACCTCCAAGTGCAACTACTCCGACTGTCGTTGATAACTCCGACCTCCAAGTACAACTACTCCGACTGTCGTTGATAACTCTGACCGCCAAGTACAACTACTCCGACTGTCGTTGATAACTCTGACCTCCATGTAATCCACCATCTGTCGTTGATATTACTCCAAACTGACCTAGCTTACCTACCCTGTTGATTCAGGGTCCCTGACTAGGTTGCTCAGTTATCACCGGCTGGAACAAATCAGGCAAATCTACCTGTGATGTTGTAGAACGATTCCCTCTACCAATATAAAGTTGTGTGATCGTATAGTTTTATTTACATACAAATGTCTGCGTTGTGTCCAATAATCAAAGCCAATATCCAGTGTTCTTGTCCAGTCGTCATTCTTGTGGTTAGTTTACTCAATTGTTACCGCTCATTGTTTGACAAGTTGAGTACTGGATAATGGTTCTTAGTGACTGTTTCTAGTAGTGGTGCAGAAGCTAGTTTAACGTCTCTGGAGGCAGTACCATCGCCCTCAACATTAGTTGACACCACTTGATCGCCACCAAGGTATTTAGTGACTATTTGACCCTCTCCTTTTACTCAATTATCAATTGGCTAAACACCTACACTTAAACTTTTGAATATATTTGCAAAATAAATATAACAAAAAATACCTATAAATATAGCAACAAAATAAATTAATGCATTTACTAAATTTGATAGTTCAAAGTCGTCCTCAATTAGTTCTTACTGCTTTAATTTGCTAAATGAAATTATCAATGTGTTATCTATTTTAAATAAGTAACAAAAAAAAAACCTCTAAAATTTTATTGAAAAAAATAAGAAATATTTTTCCCTCGGGAGGACTGAAAATTGTTTTAATAAGGTTTGACATTCAACCAACACTTTCCTTCCTTTTTCATAAACAAAGCCGTGATTAAGAGATTGCTGATATTAATACGAATTCTAAACAATCAATATTTTTTTCAGTGATCCATCTGAAGCGACAATTAGAATGAATATGTTTAATTAAAAAGGTATATTATTTACAAAAATATTTCATATACACATAAAAATTATACTTATAAATAAACAAACTAGTTATAACGAAGCCTATAACTACATCTTGTTAGTCCTAAACAAAAAAAAAATGTGAGAATGTTTAACATTAATTAGTCTTTCTTTCAGACTTATAATTTTTTTCGTTTATTTTTCTTTAGTATACATATTTCATAAACAGGCATGTTCTGGCTACTTTCTCAACTATATCTATCAGAACTATTATCATTTGTCATCTCATTTAAACCGGAAGTTATAGATGACCTTATGACCCTCTTCTCTCATATATTTTCTTGGCTTGCTGATTTCCTTTTTTTTTCATCAGCATCACATTAATATTCGTCGGAAGATGTATCGCGTTATTGATTATAACGATTAATCATATGATACTTATTTCCATAATTGGCCTACATGTGTACATATAATTTTAACCTTGAATTAAAACCATCAGTCTAAATCTTATTTGTATAATGTTCTTGATAGATATTTCCCTGTGTTATTTTATTCAATGAATTTTATTAAACATATTAAACATATTAAGAATATAAATATATATATATATATATATATATATTTTGAAGCCCATCATATTGTCACAATGACTCATCAGTGACAGTAAATGTTACGTTGAGCTGCCTAGTAAATTGAGCCCAGAAGATTTCTGTTCTGCTTTTACTGGAGGAAGCACAGTAACCCATACAACTGTGTCCCAAACCAACTTATTGACACTTTTTATCGGGTACAGTTTTAAAAAATCTATGAACTTACTGTAAAATTATGTATTTTTAACGGCCAAAGATTCGTATGGAGTGTGGGTTTTCCAGCGTGTTATCCCTATATAGAAATAACAAAAGTTATTGTAGAAGACCTTTTTTAATTTTAATTCCATAGAAGGCATAAATTATTTCGCATGCACTTCATATATTTGATATGGATAAATGTACTGCAGCTTATTTCTGTCCACAGTGTTTACAAGTGATGCTTAGTTTGGAACTTTCCAAATGCACTCAACTACCTTTGAATACCGTATTTACAGGTGACTTGCTTATTGCCCATCGTCGTGCAGAAATTGTAGGGTCGGTAGTGTACAATTTCGTTGCTGCATACGGTACGACGAAAATAGAATTGAGAATTGAAATGGGGAATGTGTCAAAGAGAGAACAACCCGACCAAAGAGCAGAAAACAGCCGAAGTCCACCAATGGGTCTTCAACACAACGAGGCGGGCTTCACATATATGATATGGATCAACTATGGTTGATATGGGCTACTTACTTCAACCAACATGATTACTACGTCCGACAAATACTACTCTTATTTTGTAGGAAACCTTTTACCACATGATGAATTCAAAGTTATTAATGATTTCAGCGAGAACGTGCCAAGACGTCATATTGATGAAATTATCGTTGGATCTGATAAATATACCGTTTTCGGGCAAAGTTAACCAGGTGGAGAAAAACGATGCACAAGGATGGTTCATCATAGACCGTTCCGGGTATATTGATGATAATGGAAATCTTTATGTTATAGGTAGGAAGTCAGATGTCTTACTTTTGGAACGTTTCAGAATCCTACCTTCATAAGTTGGAGATGCTATAAGAATGTACCCTAATATGAAAGATGTTTGCGTCGTTCTTGTCGACGACAACATTAGTTTTCAAGAACAATTTGTATATATTGTTCTTTGAAGGGTTGTGATGTAAACGCTCATGTAAACGAATTTGGTGGAGTTCGTGTTGCTCAGTCTTTCGTTTTCTGTGTTGTGTTTTTCATACTGTTGTTTTCCCTTTGGTTGTTTTTCGTTTTTGTCATGGCATCGTCAGTTCATTTTCGACTTATGAGTTCGATTATCTTTTTGGATACCTTTCGCCTCTCTTTGAAGAAACCCACCTCTTTCAACACCTCAAGTACGTAAAATTAATTTGTTCATGATAGAAAATAACTATTCTGGTTTCGCGTTGGATCTGAAAAATCATGTCCAATGAATCCAATTAAATATGAACACGATACTGTTCACAATCGGACTCCGACGGACTTCTTTTAAACTGAGTTTTACTGTGTGTTTGTTTATTCTACATTGGCTAGAGGAATAGGGGGAGGGTTGAGATCTCACAAAACATTTTTAATCCCGCCGCATTTTTTTCGCGCTTGTCCCAAGTCAGGAGCCTCTGGTCTTTGTTATTTTTGTATGTTTTTTAGTTTTAGTTCATTCATATGTTTTGGAGTTTAGTGTGACGTCCATTTTCATTGAACTAGTACACCTTTTTGTTCAAGGGCCAGCTGAAGCTAATGTAGTTTAGTATTAGTATGAAAATCAAGCACAATCCCTCCCGTTAAGGATTAAGTGTCGTACCATCATAAAATTTACGAGAAGAACATAACCCGTTTCATGTATTGGTATAGACTTGAACATTCCTCATCAGACATGCTAAGTAGGGCTTATAATGAATATAAGCGAATCAATATAGTAAAAAAATAAATAATGAAAAGATGAAAATTGATTTATCTGCCTGTAAAGATCATATAAATTCAAGGTGTATTTGAAAAGATGTCTACATAATGATTAATTTGGAAAAATGGAAAAATAGCAGAGATACATATTCAAATGACAGATGAAAACGTAACGCATGCATACTTTGAACTTAGATATTCTTTTAATTATGAACATTACTTATCTATGGAAACCCCTGAAAAACGTAGAATTCTTTAAGAATCGAAGCTGGGAGACACGGACGAAAGAGTCATAAATCTGGAAAGCAGGGGATACTCCCAATTAATATGTATAGAATACTCTGCCAGCATTGCACACTCAGTGGGGTAGAAGATGAAATCCATTTTATGTTCACATGTCTTCTTTATTCTATTCTTGAATAATATTTTTCAAAAGTTTCCGAATATGTTCAATCTTAACCTAGGCCTCCAATGTAATTAATTTACATTATTAATTTGGATGCGGCCATAGATCAGATATCAACCTCAATGCAAACTAACAAGACTAACAATCCTCAACTTGCAACGGCTCTCCGAAGACAAAAAGAGGACTACTGGATTCGACAATTGGGAACTGCGACACTATATGGTTGCAATGACAAAATTGATGGTATAGGTATTCTATCTAGTCCTTCCTGTAGCTCGGTGAATGTGATGAATATTTTCAACTCTACTCCTCGACGTAGACGCAGTCATGGTCATCGTCATTATACATCACCTACTTTGCATGATGTCTCTATTAATGACTTGCTGCCATTTATACAAAAGCCGTTAGGTATTCATCACATTCGCACGCAACTGTATTCATCACCCCTTTCAAAACTTCATTCTCTGTTATGCAAGTCACAGACTTTTCAAACCAGTTCGCATTGGAAAAGATGAAAAAGAGAAAAGATCTTTTCTTAAACTTTCCTTTGCCAACAAAGGTCTCGATGGCGTTAACTTAGGCAATATCTTTCATCATAAATTAGTTCAGTCGAAAATACCTCCTTATTTTAAAGATCAGTCCGTACCAATAATTTCTTATACCTATACCAAACCAATTGCAACTAAAATTTTCAATTACAAACAGGTTTTGCAAGATCTCAACATTGACGACTTCAAGTCTAAACCTCCTGATTGCACCTGTGCTAGTTCCCAATTCACATATAATCCGGCTGGCCACGTTATTACCGGAGACCTCAACATTGTCAATAACACTTCCCTGCGAAATTTGTTATCCAAAGGTCCGAAATATCGTGAGCCTAAATCCATCAATTGGAAATACAACTTCAAAATACTGATGGATTCAGTCGAGGATTATGCCAGGCAATGGGCTAAACGCGAGAAAGAAGACGTAGATACT